AGGGTGGATAAAAATGCCAACTTATTTAAATTACGGAAGAATGCTTTGTTATAGGCATGGCACTTATAAATTATATTCGGCATAGTAGCAACTCCTAATCAACAACCAATGACCTAGCTATTTGCTCGAGACGGGCAAAGGTTAAGCTTGGGGGATTTTGTTGGCGGTCCTTAACAACCAAATCCGACCGCCAATTAAGATCCAAAATAGGAGAAATAAACAAACTTATAATACATATGCATTTATTATTGACATATAGTTCCACTTCTATTGGAAGAATCATGTTTTGCATGACATATATTTGAATATAAGTGGAAAACAAGACAAAAGACGCAACTCTGAAAGCGTAAAGCAGATCTTGCGCAAAGGAATCAAGAGAAAGCCCAATCAACTGTCAAATCTGGGCCAAGCACCGACGTGGAAACGATCCAGGCCCAGCCAGCAGCCCACAGCACGAAGGCAGTGCCGAGATGTGGTGGCCCAGGTGCGGCTGCACCTAGGGTGCGGGCGCACCACCCTAGCACCACCTGGCCCCACCTCACTCTAGCGGTTCATCAATGCCATGCAGAGGCAGTTTAGCATAGTTTCCTAATTTATCTCCCACCAAACCGACCTCTAGCTAGTATAAAAGGAGTAGAGCTCTCACCCAAGACACACACCATTTGAGCCACTACACCTCCACATCTCAACTTGTAATCTTTTACCTTTTAGTAGTCTTTGTGAGCAAGGAAAGAGCTACCTTGGAAAGCTTGGCTCCTTGGAAGAAAATATCTTTAGTATGAATAATACGAAGAATTGTTTCAAAGTCTTGCTCTCATTTTATCAATATAGTTGTGCTATTGGACTAGAGTATAGTATTCATGTTATGATATTGACATATGAACTAGCATATAGTTTCTATGTTATTGAGCTTAACATGTAGAACATTATGCTTGATCATTCATATAACTTATATGATTAAAATTAGAGCTACGTTGAGGTGGCGGTTCATCGTGCCTTCGGCTGTGCCTAAGTCTTTTATTTGTCGATCTGTAGGGTCGGAGTCCCAGGGAGACATGGGTAGTTTCTGTGTAATCAGGCGTGGTGCCCGGGTACATAGGAACATGTGAATGCATTTTCTATTCCACGATTGAGGGGTAGGCGACAGATGGTGACAGCTCTGTCCGTCCCTTGTAACCCCCCACGTTCGGGTAGGATGTAGGTGTCTAAATTGTCACATGAGGTTACTGGCAAACCAGTACTCGATGGCCTCCCGACCCAATTCATGCCTAGCTTTAGCTCTAACCATGTAATTTGTATGATCACCAACTGTTCTTTGCAAGGCTATATTAGAAGTCTGCTCCACTTAGAAACATTCTTTTATTCTCTGTTTCTCTTTTATCCTTGAGGTCGGCCAAGTACGTGTCCACTATCCCAAATATACCATGTTTACCCCCTGTCATAGACTTTGGTTAACTTTTCAAGCATGTAGTCTGGTTCATATCTATATTAGAATATTTACACCATGCCTTCATTTGGAAAAATATAAATAACGATACCCTGAATACTTTCAGGTGAAATGCTACAGCGATTGATCCGTGCGCTTGCGGATATTTTCTGTAACGGTTAAGAACTATCGTGTTGGTGTTTCTTGGTGGCATTGCTAAGATTTATCTAAATCTTAGTTATAGTGCTAAGAAATACCAATAGACATTTCTGACGCCGTTGCCGAAAATGAATTCTTTCTCCATACTTGGTGATTACGCTAAGAAATACCAACAGGGTCCTCCGGCGCCACCTACAACAGCTTCATCAGTTCACCTCCGGCGCCGGACCGGAGGCCGAGTCTGAGTCCGCCGCGGGTGCGGCTGCGGCGTCGGCGTCGGCCGCATACGGCCTGTACCAGTGCCACAGCGACCTGCGCCCGGGCGCGTGCGTGGCGTGCATGCGCGACACGGTGGCGCGGTGTGCGCCGGCGCGACTGCGGCGTCGCTGCAGTCGGACGGGTACTACGTGCGGTACGGCGCGCCCGTGACTTCGTAGGCCGCGCCGCCGCCGACACCTCCGTGGCGTACCACCAGTGCAGCGCCGGCACGCACCAGCGGGGACGCCTGGTTCCTCGTTCCGCTACGCCATCCTGTTGGAGCTGCAGGGCGTGGACGCCACGCCACTGCAGCCTCGGGCGGGTACAAGGTGAGCCCCTCGGGCCCGGTGCAGGGCGTCGCACAGTGCAGTGACTCGGCAGCAGTTCCGATGTGTACCTGGCGCGCAGAGGGTGCCGACTCGGAACGCGCAATGCTTCGCTACGAAGCCAGATGGAGGTCAGTTGCCATGCCTGCTGGTGCCTACTACTCCGGTCAACTGCACGTACATCTACAACTACTAGTCTACAACTCCAAGCGGCCGGACTGCATGCGTGGAACTCCCTCATAGCGCAGACGCTCCGAATAACACGACAACAAGACAAGGAGGAGCTAGCCATGTCAGCATGTCGAGAAGCGGAAAATACAATCACAGTGGCACCAAAGAGAAAGAGGCAATGTCATTTCCTGAGCTAGTGGCATGACGCCAGCATGGCGGCGTCACTTGGTTCTTGGTTGAGCTTCTCAATCCAACTTCTTGCTTGTCCTAAGCTTGCATCTGAAGTTGGTTGACCTTGCCTTTGCTTTGCGCCCTGAATGGCATAAAGCAATGGAAGAAGACTTTTCAAACATACCGGAAAAGGATAATAAAGATTCAAGAATAGGGTTACAAAACGAATGGATCATAACGATGACTAGTGCTTGGTAGGTGTACCGCCAACTTTTTCCTCCGTTGCCGAGTGTGATGACAATCGAGAAGTAGCGATCCACGGTGGCGGCGGCCACCGCGGTCACCTCCGACAAGGCGTTTTTGACGGACTGCTGCCCGGCTTCGTTCGCTACAAAGAAGAAAGAACACCACGGCGAACAATGTCTAGGGCATCATATTCGGGCCTCCAACGACATGGACATATACAGGACGTCGACTCCATCCACGACGGCGGCGTCGATGGCCGTGATGATCGACGCGTGACCCCGACCGCATCAACTCGTCGTGAGGGCACCGTGGTACTCTTTTGAAAAGGGAAAATTCGAATTCGTTTGAAAGCATTGAAAGAACACATTTTTTGGGGAAAAAACATTGAAAGATGACCGTCACATAAAATACCACCGAAAGAATGATCAGTTACACCTCAAAATAGCATTTCGTCACGTTTGGAAGTAAGGTGTCAACTGTCCGCTCTAGATCTTAGATACCGTTTGGTTCGCTTCAATGTAATGTAATCCCTTTGCGATGGTAAGTATTCATGTTAAATCGTGTTTGTTTCCAACTCAGCTGCAATCAAATCCCGTGTAATCAGATACCGTCGTGTGCAAAATTGATACCCCTCCCATCCTTACGTAATCGGATAGCACGGCACCCATCGTCTTCGACTCCCGATCGTGACTCAGTTTCTGCTCAGCTCGGCGTTTCATGGCGGCTAGCGCCGCAGCCCCACCTCCACCCCCACCCCGCCCCGCCTTCGTCGCCACCCGCGAGCGCACAGAGGAAGCACACGCACCCGGCAAGGACGGCGACGGCGAGGCTCTGCTGCCCCGTCCATCCCCAAGGATGGATCTGCGGCGGCCAGTGGGCTTAGGGCGGCGGCGGCGCGAACACAGGTGCATCTCGACCCAAGGCTGGCAGCGCAGTGATGGGTCTGCTGACGTTCTTACAGCTCTCGTTTGACAAGAGTCATCATGATGCATTGATCTAGGAGCTCTCGCACCGGACAGCTTGCCGCCGGGCAGCTTTTTATTTTTCATTTACGTTATAGTGCAGAAACCAAACAAAGCCAGTGATTTGTTACATTGTTACCATTAGCACTGCTTTCTGATTCCATTGGCGTTTGCGTTACAGTTCCTAAACCAAACAGCACCTCAGTCTCACCCATCAGTCGGACACAGTTTCTTCTACTCTGTGCGTACGTCCATCTGTCCACAGGCCGGTTGCTGCTGAAGTACCTGCAGAAATGATGAACGCCGTCGAGGAAAATAAAGGCGAAAGGGAGCCCATCCTTGTCCCGCACGCGCACCGATGTGTCTCCGGCCGCCGACTCTCGCGTGCACCGCCTTGGCCCTCCATCGGCCCGTAGCCGTGCGCGTGGGGCGTGGCTCTCCGTCCTTGCCGTGCAATACTTACACTGCCTGCCGCGTAGGACGCGGAACGCGTCATGGGCTCATGGCCATAAGAGAGTGCCAATCTCTGACGGTTAGAAGCTGAGACTCTTGTGTGGCAAGTACATACTCTACGTACATGTGCGCGCATTGCAATGCGTGGATCGATCGATGTCACAGTCTCTGACGATTAGCAGCTTCCGGTCCTTCTCACGAAGCTTGCATTGCATTGCATATAGTCAACATGGCTATTGTTGGCTACACTGTACTGAGTAATGGTGCTCCGCAGTCAGTGTGTATGTCTGATGGGTGTCAAAGTAGTAAAATTGTTCAGAATTGCTATACGACATGAGGTCGGCAATCCATATAAATACCTAGATTACATCACTCTGTCTAATAAATTACATGGAAAAAATCATTGTAATTATAGTAATATAACGGTGTAAATATAGTTATAAGACAATGTACGTAGCAAGTCTGGTCTTATTGTAAATAATTAACAACCATGCACAACAAGTGTATACATACATATATTACCAAATAAATAAATAACACAAGCACAGATTGAGTATATTAACTTACTACACTACGTACGGTCGACTCGACCCTGATTTAATCTTCGTCCATGCTTGCATGCATGTTCACTAGTGTTTACTGCCTGCTACTCTACTGCAGCTCGAGGGAGGGAATGTAGTAGTAATTTAATTTAATTACTGTAGCAGCCAGGCACACAAAAATTAACAAACGCTAGATCGAGCAGCATGCACGACGCAGAGCACCTCGGATGGCAGCAGCACACAGCACGTGGCATGCATGTCCATCTCTCTTCAGCTAGGAGACGGCTCACGGTTGCGGCGGCGCACCCGCGCCGTCGGCGACGTCGACGCTGGTCGTGCAAGCGAGGAGGCGGCGGAAGATGGCGCGCACGGCGCCGCAGGAGGCCTCGTGCATCCTCCGTACCACGGCGCACCCCTTCTTCTTCTTCTTCTTCCTCCGCCTCCGCCGGCTCTGCTTCCTCCCCTGCTGCTGGTTGCTGCTGCTGCCACGGAGCCCCAGCACGTCGTCGTCCTCCCTGTCGTCTCTGCTCTCGCCGCGCGCAACGGCAACGCGGTTGCTGGCGCTGCCGACCGAGGCGGCGTCCGTGGACGACCCGCCATTCCGCTGCGGGAGGAACAACGGGAACACGGCGGCGCCGCGCTCCCTGACGCGGCCGAGGCACGCCATGGTGCGCTCGGGCACCGTCTCCTTCCTCTTGGAGAAGGTGTAGCTGCGGAGGTACATCTGCCGGCACGAGTAGCTGTCCACCACCCGGGGGCTGCAGTACCCCGCCGGCGCCAGCAGCTCGCCGCTGTTATTCCGCATGCTGCCGCTGCCGTTGTAGTGGCCGTAGTAGTAGTACGACGCGCTGGCGCCGGCGGCGCGGCCCGCGGGGCTCTCCTGCCCTCCTCCTCCTCCTCCTCCCTGGCGCCGTGCCATGGCCACCGACTTGACGAACTCGGCGTCGGACTCGGGCCACTTGTACAGGCTCACGTAGCTGGCCCGCACCGGCGCGCGCGCGTCCACGCACCCGATGGCCGCCTTGCAGTTGCACCCGGCCGCCATTAATGGCGTCCTCCGTCGTCCCAGCCGGCCAGCTGCCACTGCTCAGCTACTTTATAATTACTAGCTAGCTAACTAGCTTACTGATCTGGTTGCATTTGCATCTGCCACGCGCGCCGGCCGGAGCTCGCTGTCAGCTGTGGAGAGGAGACGGTGATCGGTGTGGGTGTGTGGGGTATATAAGGGAGACAGGGCGACAGGGACTGGACGACATGGGCGCCATGCGAGGAGGGGACGGCAGGGTAAAAGGTGGTGGAAGAAGGAGAGCCCTTGGCTTTGGTTGCAAGGAAAGGTGTTGCAATTTTTGCCGCGAGAATCATATGGCATCATCATGCATCGTGGTCACTCTCGTGCTGTGCAATGAGTAGCCTGGGCAGTCAAAATGTGAGGCCTTCAGCTCTGAGAGTCTGAATAATCCAGTGCAAAGGTGAAACAATGTCCAAAACCTGACATGAAGTAACTTGCATGACAACTCATCAGTTTGGTCGCATTTTCGGTTCTGAGGATATCTCAGTTTGGTCAAGGTCCACGGGTTGTTAACTTGTTATATTGTTCGTGGTTTGGCAGGAATTTAGACATGAAGTTCATTATTAATCGTGTTAATTATGTGGCGTGTTCGACCGCCGTGCCTATTATATATTTTTTTCTGTCAGGAAGATATATAGCCTACCATGTCGATGTATCAACGTATGCTTGCAACAGTGGAGCGGACATGTATTTACATCAGCTGGATAGAAGCTACTCTCGAATTCCAAAATGTGAGATGTTTTGGTTTTGTCCAAAGTCAAGCATCACTAAGTAGATATAGAACAACATAGTAAACATCTATTTCATCAAATCCACTGTTGAGTATATAGTTTCTTGTAGTATATCTGTTGGTTGTTGAAAATGTTGCTACAGCTTTCTATGAATTTTCTCAAACTGGAAGAAATTAGTTTGACTTAGGACACAATCTCGAAAAACTTTACATTTTATAGAAAAGGGGGTCAGTTCCATGCATGGAAGTATGATCAACCCTGCCTAACGAAGCAATTGGGTAGATCTGCGTGTTGAGCTCAAGGAAGACAGCTCGACAGAGGCAAGAGCGTGCATGGATTGAAATGATTGTATTGAAACCTGTGGTTAAGGGCTCATGATGCGCATATTCAGTGTGCGTATTCCAAGGGACACGCCTCTTACTGTTAACAAATACAGCTACTAGACTAATGACTTGAACATATCTATATATATATCCTATACAGTGGGCTGTAATTAGGGACATGGCAGTATGTTAATGCTAGTAATACATAGGCTGGTAGCTGTTGTACTGGCCATTTGACTCTGCCATGCATGTATCAGTATTCAGTAGAAATGTCAAATGTGAGGTGAGGCAGGAAGAAAGGGACAGGACACAGGTGCAGTATGGCAAGAGAAACTGATTCCCAGCAGTACTGAAAGCAATACTACTCCGTCTCAAAATAAAAGACGTTTTGGGTTTTTGTGCCACAAGTTTGACTCGATTTGTAGAAAATACGTGCAATATTTATATCTTCAAATAAATTTGTTAAAAAACTAGACAAAAAGATCTTTTCGATGATACTAATTACTTAACATAAATATTTATATATTTTAATATATAATTGCCGACAGTTGTTTCTCGGGAAGCGAGAACGTCACTTATTTTGGGACGGAGGGAGTAGGTCTCTAGGTAGCTCCTTTCTTGATGCCAGTGCCAGTAGAGAGTAGCACGTCCCTCGTGAACACTGAACAGTAGAGTAGCTGCACTGAGCTTGAGAAATCTGCACCATGAGCTGGACCTGTAAAATTTCAGTTTCCTGCGATTTCGTTAGTTTATTTGATTGTTCGGAATGAAAAGGCAACCCTAAACTTCCAGAAATCAGAATAAGCTACTTCAACTATGTGGAATCATTAGGACCTAATAGGAGCATTACAATTTTTTTTTAAAGAACTGGAATCACAAGTACTGCTGAAATATAGCAACATTGACATGGCACAACCAAATAGAATTGAAGTGGTTCCGATTTCCGAAGAGATATGCCGGTCGGTCCTGTTCGTTTGTGTTATCAGTCGTACTTTTTTAGCGAAAGGAATAGTAATTTTCTCTCACAATAAATCAACGAACAATACTTTTTAGCTTGTCTTTTCAGCAGCAATAGGCAGGTCCAGTTAAGAAAAGGCAACAATAGGCAGGTCCAGTTTGTGATGCGGAGTTGAGCACGCACTAGCAAAGTGACCCAAATGATCGGTTGCCCTTTTTATTAGTTAATCACAATCATATTGGATGGAAGCGTGCGTTGGCAAGAAACTGTTACTCGATCTGTTAGCATTGTGCTGGTGGTGTAGTGATTACAAAAAGGAGGTCTTTTCGTTACCTGGACAATCTTGTTGGAAATTAAATTATTCAGACCACCAGGTTTTCCTTTATTTTTGTTTCTTATATTTATCACTTATCAATGATTCAGATCAACTCCATCCGTCTCAAAAAGAGTGTGCATCTCGCTTTCGAGGAGCTAATCAATTTTAAGTTTGACTACAATAAATTGACTATGAAAATATATCATATGATTAATCTAATAAAACTTATTTGATATCATAGAATCATAGATATGAGTAGTTTTTTTTATATTTGTTAAATTTAAGATTGGTTGCTACTCGAAAAACTAGATTTGATTTGTTTGGAAACATTTTTTAAAGCAACGGAAGGAATAGAATTTATGTTCACTACCTAGGAAGAAGAATACGGCAGTAGCTTTATTTTGTCAACAACTACTCAGCATGACACAGCATAGCACATATAGGGAAGAAATTAATATGACTAAGAGAGCAGATGCAGGCAGTAACCTAAAAGTTACCTAACTCCATCTCCTACATATAATTGGCCTCATTAGCCTGCAGCATGCAATCCTGGCTAGCTTGTTCAGCTTGTAGGGTCTAAAGAATCGATAAACAAATTTTGTTACTTATACAACCTTGTCGTGTGCAATGCAAAACAGGGGCACGGTGCCTTTAACTGAGAATTTTGGAATATAGGGAGAAATCTATTTTTCGCCTTCCAACTATTGTCCGAGTTTAATTTTGGCCATGCAGCTCCAAAACTAGAAATCTTTAACCACTGACAATCAATACCGGTTAAATTTATCTGGCCATCTTGCTAGTTTCATAGGTGGTTTTATATTTTCTAAAAGATCATAAGTAATTCATTTTAAATTAAAAATATGAAACTAATGTATTTTTAAAAAAATAAAACATGTCTGCTGGTGCTAGATTTTGAGTAACTTAATTTGGATATTATTTGTAGTGGTTCCTACTATTTATTGCTCATAATAATCAAGCTTTTTATTTATTCATATCACCGTTTTGTGCTAAAATACAAATCCACCTCATCTAGTCTAGATGGATAAATTTGTGACAGGTAGGTGGTCAGGGATTTCTAGTTTTTTATTTGAGTTGAGTGTGGCTAAAACCAAACTCAGAGTCTCTAGCAATAGATTGAAGAAGTCCAAAAATAGACTTCTCCAGGGAGGGCATTGTGAAGCACTAGGCTAGGCGGGTCAATATCGTGTGTCGTCCATCCATGATCCATCAGCCTCATCACCACTCCGCTCGGCAATGGCATCAAGATTTCAAGAGCTAACCGCGGGCAGCAGCACACATGCATGAGCCATCATTATTGTGGTCACCCATGCAGCATGCGCGCCGGCACCGCCGCATATGCATGCAGTGATGCAGTGTACTAGGAGTAAGCAGAAGCACTCTGAATGGACGATCGTCAAAGGCAGCTACTACGACCTTCCAGAGATTACCAGTCGTCGTTGGTTACGCGTAGATCCACAAAACATGCATGCGCCTTTAACTATCCAGGAGGCCGGCAGGACCGCAGGAGCACGCGTGGTAGCACAACTGCACAAGCAGCAGCAGCAAATGTCCTGTTCGCTTGGGTGATAAGTCATGACTGAAAGTACTGTTGGCTGATTTGTTGTGAGAGAAAAATATTATTCATTGGCTGAAAAAATACGGCTTATAAACCAAGCAAACATGTCAAAAATGTTCACTGACCAAGTGACGAGACACCCTCACGACACAAACAGATGAATAATACAGGTGATTGATCGACGAAGTGGGGTGTGAGCTGATGATGATGCCTCTGTTCCAGCGTTCCTTTCCACTGGCAGAACACAGCAGCAGGACATCAGAAATTAAAAAGCACTTCGTTCCCTTGAGTAGTGTTCATTTCTTGTTACTGTAATAGCACATTATAGTTTTGCTCCGTGCTATAGTAGGAAATTTAATAGAAGATAATAAATAGTTGGGTATAATATGGGCTGAAAACCTTGCTTGCAGTTAGACCCAGTGGGTATAATGGACCTAGCTAATGGGCCCTATGAGCTTACTGACCTAAGAAAATACTGGATTTGTCTTGGGCCAAAAAAGGACTTCAGTGCATTGTGGACTTCAGTATTACACCGCCACACAAAGCCAACAACCGATTATGATTCTTTCTTCCAAAAACAAATGATGTTGTTTCTTTCGCTTCTGAGGAATTTGTTGCTCCTAGATGGAAAAAAAAATCTTTTTCACTCACTCTGTCCTAAAATTATAAGCGTATTTCATAACGGAAAAGGTAAACTTTATAAACTTTAATCAACGGTTAGTCAAATTATGTACTCCCACCATAAAAAAAACGCAATTCTAGCTTTAAACTTAGACACAACGCGTCCAGGTTCAAAGATAGAATTGCATTTTTTTTGGGGGGACGGAGGGAGTACTCCTTCCATCCCGAAATAATAGTTGACGTTATAATATTCAAATTTTATCACAAAATACTTGACCTTCAGGCTTTCCAATCCATATTTCTCTCTTTCCTAATACACATTTCTCTTTTCCTAGTATCTCTCTCCATCTCAAACATTATTTAATGCAAAAAAGATATACAAGCTCATATTAATGTCTAAAGGCCCCGTTCGGCTTGCTGAATCTTGATTGAAATTGGCTGAAAAATACTG